CCTTTTCGGGCTTGAGGTCAATTACGCCACCGTTGAACTGAGGGGGGGGGGGGGCGAGGGAGCAATGCGGAGTGAAACTGCGGTGGGCAGTACAAACGGTACGCCGTCTCAATTTGGCCAAAGGGGGAGGTTGTCATTCTAACGGCCTATCGCAGCGCTGCGTTGACGCCATCGGAGTGCGCCTTTGGCGTGAAGTGAGGTCACTGCGAGCGCTCCCATGACGCAAGCGCAATTGGTCTTGCGCATGCCCACGCAAACGTTTCCAGCGTTGATGCTGAAAGGGTTTCCAAAACTGCATCATGATTCAACCTGAACGACACGACACAGCATAACACAACACATCAAAATGAAAGACGTCGGGTTGGACCGGTTGATGCTGACAATGCGGTGGCCATTCCAAGGGGCTTTCCGTTGCACAACCATGACTCGGGGGCAAACCGAGTCACGTGACACGCACCATAGCAACGGGCATAGCAACCAGCAACCTGATGAGGGCGAGGAGGAAGATGGGGCGCCACATCTGGACTCTTGAGCAAGCGTTGCGCTCGCGTCCACAACGCATCACGCACGCCAAAGGGAGCCGCCTTTCATTAACCACGATACCTCTCTGAGCAAGGATAAGCTCCGCCCACACAGACAATGCTTCCAGTCAAGGGGGAGGTGGCAGAGAGGGCGGGACAGGAAGTAGAAACCTCAACTGTCAATCATCAGCCGACATATGGCGCTTCCTGTGGAGGAGCTTTTGGAAGCCTTTGGGATCAACGTGGGGGGTTGGTGGGGGGGGGGGGAAGCGGGGAAGGGGGCAAACTTGGGAATCCTGCCTGGGGATTGAAGGTTGGGGCAACTGGATCCAGATATAGTGTAGCTGCAAAAGTTATTACAACAATCCTAATCTTACTTGACTGCCACTTAAATTACATTTTACCTGATGTACTGTATCTGCAAACCAATTTAAGAGGTTGTGCAGGTTCTGTTCATTGGCAATATATTGTATAACCTATAAACCTGCAGGCAGCTGTGCAATTTATAGTCTTGAAATCCAACTGAGAAGAGGGCCATCGTCAAGTACCTGAGTCGTTCCAGTGAAGGCTGGTTATGGACTGTAAATATAGGTATAGTACAATAAGTGGGTGGGGCTGCCGATTTAGGGGATTTCATCCAAAGACACACACAACCAAGGCGCTACTTCCTCTTCAGCAAACACAACTTTGCTTCCCGTCACATGATGTCACCATTGATGGTCATTCGCGCAAATGCACGCACGCACTCACCGAGTACTCCGGAGGCGTCGGCCAATCGGAAAAGAGCCCACGGCGCGCTGGCCAAATCTGGACGGAAACAAAAGCTTTGCGTTAACTCCGTTGCTGCTGTGATGTCCCGTGACCTGAAGGAGTCCTGCATCTTTGCCCCAACCGGCTCATCCCGAGCATCGTTGCTCTTTTACTGCTGTGTGTTTGTTGGCACGCACCCGCGCGACTTTGGCATTCAGTGGTGAAAGCCCAAATCCAAGGCGGACGGGGCGCCGCGATCAATCTGTCAATCACAATCGCTTTGTGCATCTTTCCAGTTTGATGCCATCACATTTTCGGGGCCTTACAAGCGTGCAACCGGCCCACCCGCCCACGCATGCGTGGATGGAGTAGGGCCTTACAAGCGGGCTTCATTTCTTGAACCGGCCCACCCGCCCACGCATGCGTGGATGGAGTTCCACGTTGGTGGCGGAGTAGCGCGCCGTCATGGCCCCTTAACCTTTGACCTCACTGACATTTAGTCACAGAGTCGGCCTGAAAAAACTCACAAACAAAGGCTCATTTTCGTGCCCCCGCGTTGCTGCCTCGTTGACGTCATGATGACTGCGCGGCCCCGCCCCTTTTGATTGACAGCCTTCCAAAGGCGCACGCGGGTCGAGCCAACTCACCTCTGCGCGTGCACATCCCCCGCAGCGAAGCATCGGACAGGTCCGCGCACGCACGGCGGCTCGGTTGCCAACGAGCACGCGCCCGCCCCGACGTCCTAGCAGCAAAATGGAAAGCAAGAGAAGCAGCAAAAGAAGGAGCGGCGCAAACAAAAGCTGCTCGGTCGCAAGCAGCTAATCTCTTCGCCAGCAGACCGGCGCCCGGCGTCTCCCGACGCAGGCCGCGCCCCTCCCGACAAGCCACGGCCAATCAGAGGTGGCGACGACGCGGGCCGGCATGACTCCGCCCCCTCCGATCCTTTCACGCTTCTGTCCCTTCGAGTGAGCGACCGACTGTTGATTGATTGGTTGATCGACGCCCGCAAACTTTCGCGTTCACCTCCAGCTGGCAGACAACCCAAACTCGGCCGCACGAGTCTTGACGAGGATCAGAGGGCGGGAAAACCTGACACGAGTGCTAAAATGGCCCCAATGGCTCCCTGTGTGTTTTCGGGTTGAGCTCCAAGTGCTCGTATTAGTTTTTCAGTGTCTTCAAGGGCTCTGCCCTTTTAAATGTTCCCAAGGTGAGGACCAAAACACACGGCCAGGATGCATTCGGCCATTTCGGTCCCCACCTTTGGAAGAGCCTGCCAGAGAACATCCGGTCTGCAGAGACTGTTGACGTTTTGAAGAGGAGGAGTCTTAAGGCACATCTTTTTAGCTTGGCTTTTAAAATAACGTATTTCGACACTTAAATTAATTTCTTTTATCTATCAATCTATGTATGTGTGTAGTATGTTAGTGTATGAATATATATATATATGTGTGTGTTGTAAGTTTGAAATGTTTTTAAGTATTGTACAGCACTTTGAGTTGCATATTTATGAATGAAAAGTGCTATATAAAGTTTGATTGATTGATATCACAGGGGGCAGACGGTATCCTCCGTTTCATTCACTTGACAACAAACTGCTCACCACATGTAGTTTTGTTATTTATTAGTTTTTTTGTATGAGCTAATAACCAACAAGAAAAATCAATGGAATAAATTGAGTTCTTTTTTTGTTTGGGGATAGGGGGGCGGTTGAATCTGATGATGAAGCACGAACTGGTTGCCCTATAAAAATTCCAACATGGGAAACCGACGGACAGGGGCTGTATTTCGGTGTGTGAGTGTGCCGCTTTCCTGGAGGCGCTCATCACCAATCTCATCTGACTTCCTCCTTGACCTTTCCAACATGATTTGGCCTCTGCGCGTGTGTGTGTTAAGTGCATACACATGATTGTGATGGGGTTTGGGGGGGGGGGGTTGTGTGTGTTGCCCGGCCCCCCGCCAGGTCAAACAAAGGTCACATTGGGGGATGTAAACAGACGGGAAGTGCTCAACGTGCTCACGCTAGTTGACCTTTGCTCAACAGCCCTTGTTGCCATGGCAGCCAGAATGCAGGGGCGTGGGATGACACCGCTCTCTCATCTCCATCTCAGTGTTGTCATGTGCAGAGGGGGGAAAAAAAAAAGTTAGTCGCCAGGCGGTACCTGCTTGATCACGTCACACTAAGGCGATTTTGAGGACCGTTTTGTCTCACAAATGATGGAACTGGTTCAAATCTGCCTGCATCAACGGATAGATGGCGTCGTCCACAATTTGCCCGGCTTCACCAAGTGGGAGCCTGAATCCACTCCCTGTGACCTGCTTGACTTGCTGCACGGGTTCATTCGCGTCTCAAAGCTTCCGAGCTTCTCCCTCAGGAAAGCGCAGATGGAGAGCAGAGCTAGCGAGTTCCGGAAAAGGGCCGTCAAAAATCCCTTGGGGGACCGAGAGAGTTTCTCAAAATCCCTCCGCTGCAGTCGGGGAGTCCGGAAGGAGCGAATGATGCAGCGGAACGCTGACCCGCTCCCAACTGCCCAGCGTCGGAACTCTCTCCGGGGCTGCTCGCTTGAGGTCCGAGAGGGCAGGTTGGCCCGGCTTCCTTCCTCAGCTCGCTGCCGAAAGCCAAGCAAACGAGGCGCGTTTCTTTCCCGTCAGGGCGGGAATGTCGGCGTGCGGACGCTTCGGGGCTCCGCGCTTGAAAGCCTCGAGCCTCCTCGGCAAGCCTCAAACATTTGCAATTCGACTGGCCTGCGGCTTCAAAGCCGCATTTCGAGCGGGCCGTGGCCCCCAAAGTTGAACGTTGAAACCCCAGCTGAGCTGCAAAGCCTACTACCAAAGGCGCTTATAAATAAAATGTATTGCTATTATTATTATTATTATTATTATTATTACTATTACTCGGATGCCCTAACGTCGGAATGGAAGCCGAACAGATGCGTGCGTGACCAATTTTATTGATCAGCATTTTGCCGATGGGTGGAGCTCCTCCTCCCTCAGGCTGCGGTCCAATCGCTGCGTCTCGGCCTGCAGGACGGACGCGACAATGGGCCGCAGCGTGACGGTGGCCAACGATTGGCCCAGGTCCCGATGAAGCTTGCCGACACAGGGCGCCCTCCGGTGGGCGTCCGCCGCCGCTGACCCGTGCGGCCGGCTCGCCTGGGGAAGACGGGGGGCAGATCCTTCATTGACCTTCTTCAATTTATCCA